AACAAGTTTCGACCTTTCCTTTTCCTTAATTTCTACTAATGTCATGTTCATGTTTACACATAGATGTAATCATTTTATTTCGAAAATAAACTTAGACTTGATTCCTGATTTTTCTATGAAATTTTTGTTTTCTAAAATAATATTGAACTAGTATTTTTTCTTGGATTTAATGAGTAAATATGTTTCATATGTAAAGTATATACGTATAATCATGATATGTCATTACTAATATTTTACCTTGTCACAAAAGAAATGTTTTTTTTATCATCTGTTCGTGAATCATACTTAACAAAAATAGTATATTTTCAATAATTTACTGGATAAACTAAAAGCACGTGTTTCATATTTTTAAATAATTATGAATTTAAAAAGATAATCACAAACTAAAAAAACCTGTCTAAATAACAGCATTAACAAACAAAAAAAATGTCTAGTGGAAATGATTTATTCTATATTATGATTTAAAATAGAAAACTAAATGTATATTTTCATTTTTAATTTCAAATATTTTGCTATAAAACAAATGCTAATTTAAAAACATGGATAGAGAAAAATGAACAATGACATGATGCTAATAGGAAAAGAATATTCAATAAGATTTCATCATTTCATTTATAATTTAAGTGAGAAAGATTTGAATAACGATTCCATGAATAAAGTCAATGGGTGCAAAATGAATGCATAGTATAGCTGAATATATATGTATTTACTATAGCTAGATATTCATTCAATATGAGTTTTCGATTATTAAAACAAGCTGCACCATACAGAACTATTTGAGAGTTGTGCATATGTTTTGAAAAAGTTCTCATTCAATGTTTTAGCTCAAGTAGGTATTTTTGAAATAAAGAATTCTTTCGATGTGATGATATCCATAGAAAATCATTTACAAGAAATTATTCTGTGTATGCAAAAAATACAATATACTAATGATTGCAAAATAAGAAGTAAACCACTCATAGTTGGATGTTTATACTAGTACATCTATCTGATGAAAACCACTGTTGACAAAGATTTCCTACAAGCCAGTCTCATTTTTATTATCAGGAACATCTGGTTTTCTTAATGCTAATATAAAGAAATTCTAAATCTTTTGCATATAATCATAGATTAGCAATAACAACACCATAGGTACTACAACTGAAATCTCTCTCAGCAAGAGTTCAATTACAATAGGCTTTGTTAGTTACATATTCTAAAAGATCAATATCTGAAATTGCAGCAACAATAGAATCATCTAATAACTTGGTATATAATTCATGTTGTAATTTTCATGGATAAAAATTTTGATTAGTGCTACAAATGTAGTGAAAAGAAAAATTTACCCACAATGATCTAGCAAGAATACCCATACGGCTAAAGCATAATTTTTTATTTTTCATCTCATTAATTTCAGAAATAAAATCTTTTGATTTTGATATTATTAAATTAGATGTTAAACTTTTCGTATACATTTTCCCTAATACCAAACTTAAGATATATAGACATACACTTTATAATCGTGCTGCAACTGTCTGAACTTGAAAACTTGTATCATATTACGTACTCATTGCACTAGCAGAAATCATAGACTGATTTTTGAATCCTTCGTTTACTTGTTGTTCTAAGTGGTGCAACAAGATAACACCATATATATTTACCAACCAGAGGTATCAACCATAGAATAAGTGAGAACGATATTAGTTATGAAACAAGATCAATATCTACCGAAGTTGCTTTTCGAATAATAATGCGTAAAGAATTATCAAATATTAAGTTAGAAAAATCGACTATTTCTCTTCGTGAAGCAGTAATAGTAACATCACGTACTACCAAATCACGAACACCATGTGCTACTACTTGAACTAATCCATTATCCATGTGATTCGATAGTACTAATATAATATGAGGAGTAAATCTCATCTTATGTTGTAAACTATCAATAAAATTAGGTACATAACCAATTAAAGTGGTCGTTTTCTGCTCGCAGCAATCTTTTCGTACTGTGGGTTTAGATGATGAAAAGCCCCTGTTCTATATCAGCATCCATACCCTTCTCTACTTGTGAATATTACATGCTGTGCTCCTTCTGATACTGTACTTATTCACTGAGTTCTAGAAGTTCTTTGTTTGAATTACTTATTGCTCGAATTAAAGTATAGAGAGAAAGACTTGAGAACGCTCCAATGTATTGTTCAAAGGAATTGGTGAGCTATACGTTTCTGATGCAACAAATGTAATTACACCAAATAGTACACGTTTCATTTCTAGAGAAAAATTATTGATGAAACATCTTGTATATTATTTTTATCGAAAGCTAATAGGAGAAAATGTGATATGCTGTCTATTACAACAATTATATTAGGTTGTTGATTGCCGGTCAATTATTAACTCAAGTTGACTATAGTCCAGTCACAAGGAAAGTGAATAAATCATGTAAAGTGACAGATATATATGCATGAGATCAGATACCGAAGAACGTTTCCGAAGATCATAAGTGAGTTCAAAAATAGAGAGAGGGAAAGATGAGTACTTCAAGAAAGGGTGTATAGTATCGAACACAAAATATAAAATGCACTTGGATAATCTGAGCGTACTCGAAGAAAAGTGAGGAATGTCGCCTATGTGTTTTCCACACATGTTAACAAAACGAAAGAGAAGAAATATAGAATGCATACCTGAGTGATGATGTCACACCATCTAACAATGAACCAGAACACTGAGCAGGAGTAAACAGAATATCGAATACACAAGCCATCAACAAAGAGAAAATTCGAGAGCAGAGCTACCACAAATCAAAATAAATACT